TCGTTTTACACTTTCTTTAGTTAGTTGTTGGTAAGACGTTTTTCTCAAGCTTAGTCAGCCTTTTATTAATTTGCCCTAAGTATCGAACCCGTCACAACTGGCGCTCAACCTTGGGCGCCAATTGTAAGGGGCAAAACCACCCTGGCGAACCCTGTCGCTAGCGGAAAGCTGTATATGTATGCTACTTTTATACGTTTTTTCGACGAATTTCCTAAAGTGAACAGGACAATACATGAGCTTATATTTATTTTATGTGTCAAAAATCAATGAGCTAATTAGGTAACGACCGTTCCTACAAATAGGTAATTGGGCTTAAACCTAAAGCTCAAAAATTGAAATCCTCTATGCGCTTTATAATTTTCCGGTCTGTATTTATTTTGCTCTGTCCTGTTTTTCCTTCGTTTCGTGAGCTAATGATACCAACAAATGAACTGAGATTAAATAATATATGTCATTATATAATATTCTCTGTGATTATCTTGTTCAACTGAATACCAAGAATTCCAAATATCAGTCTGTTATACTACTAATTCCTAATTTTGAATTAAGTCAAGGACGAAACCCTAGTCAAAGGCGTAATAAAACGTTATAGCTATTAAAATAATTTATTATTAAATTAGTATTTCATCAATGATTTTGTCAAATTTAGAATGTGATATAAATTCGAATTAATACAAAGGTTACCTTCAATGAAATATAATCCCTGGTACCTAGATATGGGACAAATCCACAAACTTTCGCAATCCGGGCGACTGCTCTTACCATTGAGCTACCCGCGATCCAACATGACTGACGAACTTTATTGAAGCGCTCGTAACTTTTCGCTACTAGTGATTATATTTTTATGAACCCGAAATGCGAAAGGTTGTGGGTTTAAATCCCATATAGGGGTCCCTGGGACTGATGATACAAATTTAATAATTAAACAAAATTATTTTTAATGAATAATTAAAAATCCTAGGGACAAAGTGGATAATTTAAGCATTTTTCATTAAGAGTATTTTTCAATACATCATTGTGAATGCAAAATTAAGCAAACATAATAATTAGAACAAATTTTTATCTTTATAGAAAGTTTAAATATTTGTAAAAATATTTCTTGCGGATTGCCTGAACATTAATGAAAATACGCTCTGTAGTAGTAAAAAAGTAACAAGTGCTTCAAAAATTCGTCAGTCCTGTTAGATCCTGGATAGCTCACTAGTTAGAGTAGTCACCCGGATTGCGAAAGGTCATGGGTTCGTTTCTGATCTCGGAGTAACAGGGACAAAGTGGATTTTTTTAAGTAATTGCTTAAGAAAAAATATTCATTAAAAATATTTTTCAGTATAACATTGTGTATGCAAAATTGATCAAATATAATAAGCAAAGATATTTAGTGTAAAGGTATGAGTTTTTAATATTGGAGAATTTAAGAAGCTACTACGTAGATGTTTGATCAAAGTCATTTTCGACGATCATAAGTGAGTGATGACCAGTAAACGATTTTTGGTGTGTAAAGAAAAGTAACATTCAACGTTTTTTAATGTCGCGACATCCAATCGTACGTGTTAGAGTTTCTTTAATTATAAATAGTTTAATCGAAGTATAAAAGTTGCTCAAAAATAATAATGACAAATAACGTAATTTAACGATGCCGTCAACACATACAATAATAGTCATTCACCGTAACACATAAAATAATAGTCATTCACCGCAACACATACAATAATAGTCATTCACCGCAACACATAAAATAATAGTCATTCACCGCAACACATACAATAATAGTCATTCACCACAGTGTAACAAATTACCTCTGTTTCAACGTTGATTTATCATTGATATCCAATTAACGATGACTGATGAAAGGCTGATGCCGATGAAAACGAACGGTCGCCATCAGAAAAGTGGATCAGCGATGGAACTTCATACTTAGACACGAGTTTTCATTGATGAAGTATCAAAAATGAAAGTAGAAATAAAGCGTCTAATATAGCGTCTTTAAGATATTACTCTAAAAATTGATTCTAAAAATATACAAACACATTAATTACTAAAAATCATAACGCTCTTTATTGCTAGCAATTTTCATATGTAAGGTTAACATAAGTAGAAAATTTTTCTTTTTAGAACAACACATGATATTTAATGTTATAACATTATTATTAACAGCTTACACGCAAACTCAATTAAATTAACCTTATACACGTTGTAGTTATAGAGCGAGACGCGTAAATTTCTACCAAGGAGTAGGCACACCTTATTAGAAATGGAAGTAAAGAGAACCACAGCTGTAAACTACAGAGGGGTTGTTTATACGTTAGACTTGTAAGATAATTAAAATTTTATGTTTACTCAAATTTAATAAAACACATTAACATCAGAGAGTTTTTCTGAATTTAACTATAAAAACGAATCATTTAATCTTAAGGACATAATTTAATTCTGTAAATTTAAAAATTATTTCGATAGAACATATTACTTTAAAAAATAGGTTATTTTTCACTTTTAAATATCTGGGTTATAAGTTATTCTATAATCATAAAAGTTTAGGCCAAAGGAAAATATATTTTGGACGTATTATTATTGTAACGAATTAAATGAAATGATATTATTAAATTGTGGAAACTAAGATACTAAATCTATTTCGCGGTATTGTAATTTTTATTTATTAAACGTACACTTATGAATAATTTGAACCTTTGTAACAAAGCGAAAAGCAAGCAGTATTTTTCTTTCTTCTTCTTTTTATTATTAATAGCTTATCTGCGAGTTTCGCACAATTTTGCCAAATTCAAGTAATTAATTTAATCAAATTAAAAATAAAAATTAAAATAAAATAATTTATACATGCTCGACTCATTTTGAAAAGGCGACCATAATTCATTTTCCACAAACGAAGTGAAAAGTTGAGTATAACATACGATTAGTGTCTTTGATCTAAGCACAGGATACTTGTCAAAACATTCCTTCCATTATAAATTATATTTAACGTGTTTATCTTTAAGCGTCTTTGCTTATAATGCCTTCTTTACTGGTAGAGGTCAAAGAATTTCGGAAAAGTTAATGGACGGCAATCAGAAAAAAGAATATATTGAAGCGTTATCGGAGGGTTAGCTACAAAATAATGTAACATTTATGTAAATCTTATTGTATAATATAAATGACTACTTACTTACTGGAAGAAAGAGTACGAAGGAAAAGGAGTTACATGATTCTTCCAACTATGAATGTTCATGTTTGTCCAGTTAGAAATATTGAAAATACCCTGGAGCTAACATTTTTTTTATTTATAATCCTTCTATATATATATATGCGTATTTGTCACTGAACTCATTAATGTTGCCATAATATCGAATGGAATAAACAAACGTCAATACGTTTGTTTGTGCCTCTTTGTTTGTAAGAATGTGACATGCAATAAAATAATTTGAATTTGAATTTGAAGCTATACCAATGGTATAGTTTAATTAACAGGGTTTGCTTGCAGGCGTAGCTTGACGGACTCAAGAGACTCAAGAAACTGGCGAGAGCGACACCGAGAATAAGATATTGTATGGGCAATTAGACATATTCACTCTTGACCCTTTCCTCGGTTCTTGAGTAACGCGAACTTTTCTCGAGTTTTTCGAGCTATTCTCGAGACTCTTGAGAGTTTATAGTCTCTTGAGTTTGTCATACGGCGAGCATGCTGGCTACTGCATGCGATGTATTGAGAGAGGTTGTAGCGGTCAACTCGATGCGCACGGCTAGTAGGTATATCTTTTTTTAGTCTAATAGTGCGAATGGCCCAAGACGGCCTAGTTCTTTTTGTGCATGGTCAAAATATGTTTGTCAAATGTAAGGGTTTCCTTAGATTACTATTAAAAAATTACTGCATTTTGTATCCAATTTAGGGAACTTAAACACTTTCAGCACTTTAATCTGATATGATGAATGCACTAAAAAGCTCGCATTTTGGCACATTAACATATAGATACACATATAAAAGCTTATCGCTGTTATTTTTCTGAAAATAAAAATCGGAAATAAAACATTTCTTATAAAAAAATTAAACTACTTCATATAAATCTAAGTAGATATCTTTATTTCATATCATACTCGTACAAAAAGTGATACATAAACAGACAATATGAACGCAATACACAGTATGAAGAATTAATTTGCTTCTCAGATGTTTTCATAAAATTCAAATATTATGGTACTGTTATTTTCTTATTATATATCGTGGCTCTAAACATTGTATTTCATTCAGAAATAGTTAAGTATAATGGATATTTAGAAACAGCGGTTAATTTAAATAATCTACATAAAACCGATGTCCGATTTCAAAAAATGTTTAACGAATTACTTTTCACTTTTATTGAGAATTTTCGAGGACTTTATTGAAATTAGGCGGTGGTTTTTTGCAATATTAACCTCCCGACTTCAAAGGGTCCTCGAAAATCTTGAGTCCTCGTTTTATTTTTCATTTAAATTAAAATTTCTTGACGTCGGTTTTTATGGGATATGATTTAACAAAACGATAACTGGCTCCTGCATGCTCAGGAACAGTTGCTTGTGGAGGTTCCTTTTTTATCTCAACGAATATACATACCTTCAGCCATTACAGCCTTTCTGCATCTTCCGCTTTTGAACATAGGCATTTTTACACTGTCTACTTTCGTACATTTCGGAGATAAATCGATCCCTTCCTTTGGACCTGACACTTATGTCTGGTGTGATGTCGTCCACTCAACGTATTTTCCTTTACCACGAGTGACCTCTACCACGCGTGCTCGCCCAAGGTTGTCATTCCATTACTTTTTAGTCCATAGATTGCAATTTATCCTGGTAATATGTCCCGCCCATTTCCATTTCTGTTAACTTATTGCTACTGCAATAATTACTACGGCAGCTACGATTAATTGGAGGTACTGCGGTCGTTTGAGGGTGTTGTATTTTGTATGATTGATGTTGCCATAAAACTGCATAATCATTGAAGAGGGATAAATTTTCGAATAAATTTGACAACGAATGAACAGTTTGTTTTTGTTTTAATAATCATAATGGCAAGTGACTTAATCTCGTAATTTTACAATTGGACTTTTTTTTAATAAAATACAAAATAAAACAGGTATATAAATATTCCCACCATGGATTTAACGCTTACGTACATTTTAATATCCTTCCAGATGCATGGAACAGCATAGACTAAATAAATAATATTGATTTGATCTTGATTTGATTACTCGTAACTCATTTTCGATTCCCGAGCCTCCATATATTTTAAATAGGATTCTATTTCACATATTTTATGGCAATACAATCGAGTTTCATGAAATTTACATAGATTTTCTAAATATAATGATAAGATCCCTAAAAGTCTTAAAATTATTCTCATTTACGCTAATAAGACACACATGGTACTTTCAATACATAATATAATAAGCTTATCGAATACGTGTTATGGTAAATGCACTATTTATAAAATCCCATTGAACAGAATTAAATATTTTCTACGACCTATCTGAAGAATAAAGTCTGTGTAATCTCTACTTTTCAAAAAACAATTTAACATTTCAATTCACACATTTATCTATGACACTAGTGTTAAAGATTGTAAAGGATTAATTGATAGTTATGCAACTCAATTATCTATTCAAATTCTGATAGAAAATATTATTAAAAACGTTATTAAAATTTTAGAAAGACAGAATTTCATTTGATAAATCAATACAACTAGTCAAATATTCTTCGGATAGGTCGTTTACAAAAACCTTAAGAAAATAAAATCACCTTAAATCTAAACGAGACCCTGCACATCACTTACTTAGCCTATAAATAATTACAGATGCTTTCTAATATCGTGTACTAGCAAATTTTTGAGATAATTATTGTCATTTGAGAGGCATTCTACAATATCAAAGTGATCAAAATCATCTTTGATTTCTAAATACATATTCTGAATCAAGCATACATCTAGTAAGTGTTCATAGAACTCTCTGCTCTGTTTTTTGAATCTGGGACTGTCGTTTTGACCCGCTATAATGTATAAACGGACTTTTCTGGTGTGGAGATGAGAATAACAGTCGAATAGTGGCGACAAAGGCTTTGCCCATTCAGTAGGCAGTTGGACGGCATCGTTGACAGATGTATGTAGTAACTCACGGAGGTCGTATACTCCGGAGATGAGGAAGGCTGCTTGGAGACGGTCTGAACCGATCGTGCTGTCGAGGAGGTCTGAGTTAGCGAGGAGTTTCGCTACAAGGTGGGCCCCCGCCGAATGACCAGCGAAATACACTCCCCTGGAAATAAAATCAAACACTTATATACATAAAATGGCAAAATTTAGGTCTGCTCACCTATCTGTGCAGCATGATGAACTTGAGAAACTTTTTTTACACCAAAATATCATAATAGTGGTACTATGATATCTAATAAACCCAATCAGTACCTGGAAGTACCACTACTGGCTACTGACTCCTAGAGTAGAGTGGTGATTTATGTGAGACTTCTTGCCGTTTATTCATGGTAATTTTTCTTCGAACGTAGCACAACATACCTTGCAGATACAGCAATGCAACCCAAATTAACGCCTGATTCTATTCAATACCAAAATGTTAGTTCTTTCGGGTATGCCTATAGAATATCTCACACTCAAACAGTTTCTCGAGTCTCTCGAGTTCGTCATACTGTATGTTCTGGTAAATCTACAAAATCGACATATACTTTAAAACTGTTTTGAATACGCTGACACATCCTTAGAATCAAATAAATACTTCAAAAGGTACGAGTAATAAAGGTTTTATTTAATTAAACATTTAATGCTGCGACAGCGCTTTGTTCGTAGCTATACTTATACAGCAGTAACAGAGCAGTAATCTATACTTATATTATTAACAGCTTAAGTTTCTAACTTTGTTTGTTTGTAAATCTTCGAAAATACTGATCAGATCACGAAATTTCTTTCACTAACAAGAAACTACTCATTCGTGGATGACATAAGCTATAATTTAAACGGGAGAGGTCGGCGAAAAATAGCTAGTTTACAGAATAGAAATTTCAAAAAAATAATTACAGAAACAGACAACTAAAATGTTTTGTCTTGTCAAGCTAATTTCAACTCAGATGTTGTACTTCTAGTATTCGGTTGAGGTTAGCTGAAAGCCATTTTATAAACATATCGGTTTGTTTTCAGGATACAATCATAAGTTAATTTATATTTCTATTAAAGTATTTGTAATCAGTACTATTATGAACTAAGTCGTCAATTAGTATATTTATTTCAATAACGTCGCTAACTATTATACCAATTAATTATATAGGTCTTACAGACTATGAATACCGTGTTAATTAGAGATTTAGGCAGAAAGCTTGTAGACTAAAGTTTATATTAAGTTAAAATTTATTAATAATCTAGTTGAAATATTAAATAATAACGTCTAGTTATAATTTTACAATTTAAATAAACAAAATTCTAGTTATGAAATAAAAATAAAAAGCATAGCTACAGGAAAAAAAATTGTGCACTAATTACACTATTGTGTTAGTTTCTGCTTTTCTCAACCAACGTTTAAGACCAGAGTTTATGATATGTCTATTGTACTCCAGAGTTGCTGAACGACTTTTCGTCTATATACTTGCAGTTTGTAAAAAATGTGAAATGTTAATGAATATTAAAATCTAAAATTTTTAAGAATCGTAAATGCTTTAATATTTAAGGTCGAGCAAATCGGCCGTTTGAAGAACGCAAAAAAATTGTGCCCGAAAAAAAAAGCTGGTAAATTTTATATTACAAAAATGTTATAGGGATAGCTTAAAAGGCGATTTATTTTTGTAGTTATTAAAAAAATAAGCCAAACATCGAGGAAAGGTTATGAGCAAAAGTGCACAGGCAAAGTTCAAAAGTACGTGATTTCTTTGAATATGTTATTTGGTAAATAATAAAATTTACAGGCATAGTTTAGTTCTTATCGGATCCTATAATTGAATAAAATTGTCGTTCTTCCAATGTTTCATTTTTTTAATAATCTTCAATGTTTTAAAATCTGGGTACACTGCTGACAATGAGATTTTGCGGCATTTATTTTGAAATTTAATACATTTCTAATTAAAAAAGAAACTACTTTTTGCGAATCGCCCTTTCTACAATCCACATTTAACTATATAAAAACCTATTCAGTTCCAAGGTACCTATTCGAAATAAAATATTCAACCAAATATAATTATTTATTTTATGTTGAAGTCGGGCGGAGACTTTGTGCATGCTATCGAGTAGAATCTTGAAAAATAATATTTGTTTACTTTGATCATTCAAATCATCATTGTTCACAAAGCAATTGCGACTTTAAAATTACATAAATAATTCCATTAATCGCTTTGCAATGTCAACATTTGAAAGCAATTGCGATCGATTATAAATTTAGACAATTAGCCTATTGAATTGACAAAAAAACAAAATAAATAGCAATGAATTCTCGTTATCACAATTTTATCAAATATAATAAATATGCTAAGCCCTCTGTAAAAATCAATCACTGAAACTCAGGTAGATTCATCGTCAATACGAAAATAAATTTGAATATCATTACTTTTCAATTCATCTTTCTGTGGATGAAGAAAGTCTGATATGCTGGTACTCGCAAATTGAATTCATTTCGTTTATGCAACAAATAACATCGATATTGAAGATAACACATAAGAATATATATGCAATTCGTATGAATGACTCATACGTGTTTCTATTCAGCTGCCCGAATGGAGAAAAGAATTGAAGGACTGCAATAGCGATGATGACAGGGCAAAAATGAATTTCTATTTAGTCAGTCAGATAAAAGAGAAATATTATGTCATGTTATGTAAATTTCGCATGACGTCACGCTTTTGTAGATTTTCTACAAAACTGTGACGTAGCGAGCCTCTGTCAACTTTAATGATTATTATCTAAGCCATTTCTTGTTCAAATTGAAGCAAAAAAATCCTTTTCTGGTTGACGATCTAAATAGATTTTTTTTTACCCAGTCGACATCCCTATTCTTGTGCGAATCCGAATCCTACTTGGTCGTTTTATTTAATAATTTCGAGGGTGGTACAACAAAATTGGCACCATCATAATAATATATGTGCTTATAGAAGTATTATAAGTGACATTATCACTAAATGATTCACTGTGTTTACCTACAATAAATTGTTCGTAAAGGTAAAATTCAACATTTACGGTGATTTGAAATTGTCACAAAAAGTACTTTACGATGTGACAGAGAGTGACTGTATCCAATAAGGATCTATATCCGCAAGTTCCCAATGGAAGTGCAATTCAATGAAGCCTCTAATAAATCTTAGTAAAAAAATAAGAATCAATCGTTCATTCCCATCACTTTATCTCTTCGATTCTTTTTATTATCTCCCTAGTAATTTATCTCTCTCAAACGAAGCATCGTACAATCATTTCTGATTTGATCAAAGCTCCAGTATAAGATTTACATTATACGTAACTTTGTATTTATAAGGATAAATAGGCGGACTAAAGAGTCTTGTATCGTTGTTCAATGAATTGTTTGATTTATAATATTTGGTGTCACTAACGACATAGAAAACCAACTATAATTTTTCATATTCATAATATCAAATAACAATGATGACCACTAGCTAATACAGATACAACAAAAACACCCCAACACAAAACTATTACTAAAAAGATCAAAAAAGCCTTCTTGTATAATATGATTTAATATGATATTGTCTTCTATCTCAATTTTAGATTAAAGTCACAGGGTTAGGTTATTATTCATTCCTTAATTTTGACTAGCAAAAGCTGGCGTTCTGTTATATTTATATCTTTAATATTTATTTAGTGGATATTTTCATTAAGTTAACTAAAGGTATTTTTAAAATTAAATAAACAAGGAACGCCGTCTCGTGAGTTTTTAAATTTAAATCTCTCCAGTCCAAACGCCTCAAAGAGGACAAAATCGATCCTCGGACTTAGAGTTACTTGAACGGAATAAGACGGAATAAGTATGTTTAGGATGCTACAAAATTACCTGCTGCCCATATTCTCTGCATATTCGAAGACAAATCTAGCGGCGTTCTGTATTTGGTGGATGATTTCTGCCAGGGTTGCGAGCGGGCACAAATCGTATCCGACAACGATGGTCTTCACTTTACAACGGTAGAGTGGTAGCGCTGGATACCGAGATAAATCTCTCGAAAGCTCCTGCCAGTACCCACCGTGAATGAAGACTAGGATAGGCGCGTCTGAGAAAAGATAAAAACAAATTTAACGATTCACCTTCGTCTCTGATTGCAAAAGTCAAAATAAACTTTTTAAAGGTACTTTTGAATCATCGAACATTTACTAACCCACCATCTGATTCGAGACCTCTTTTGACTTATAAGAAGAATGAGCGAAAAAAATTTACCAGCTTCAACAAAATAACGACATTTACGAAAATCATACCATTACTAAATCATTACTAAAAATATAAATTGGTTTATATGTAACAAACAATTAAGATGAGGTCTCTTTATATTGCAATATTAAACAACACAATGATTTGAAATAATATTTAGAAATGACCTATAATAATAGCTGGAGCATCTTACGTCTAAGCTTTTATATCTGTTATATCATTAAAGTACCGTAAAGTACCCTGGTAGTACCTACTTAGATTAGAGGATCAAAAGCCTTATCGTTGAATTATTATTCAACTCGTTCCATTGTCATCAGCGTGTCGTGAAAACGCCTGTCGTTTACGAATAAAAACCAACACATTTTAGTAGCTAGGTATCCATAACGAAGGCCAGCAGGGCGATTCTGTAAAAATTCAGACCCGAATTCGATTCACGTCATTTAGTGTCGAAATTCTATTGATTCCATTTTGTATAAAATACAAAACGAAATTGATTGATTATACTGGTCTCAGATATTCTATTCCCATGTCAATTCGAAACTCACCTCACTTATGCCACAAAACGCTATTACCAATTCAAGATTGAACGGATGCTGCTTTTTGAAGTGACTTCGGATACCTGAGTGAATTCGAAGTCGGCTTTGTATTTTTACAGAACCGCAGAGCTGAATCCCTGCAGTGGGGATGCAAAAGGGCTGATGATGAAGGTAGATAGGTAGGCTTGTACTTTCGTAGATTAAGATTCCCATAATATTTGGGGTCTGAGTATTATATGTAATGTGGTCTAATATATAAAAATCAAGTTCTGTTCGTTCGTCTTGCTAAAACTTGAGAACGGCTAGGCCGATTCAACTGATTTTGGTTTTGAAATATTTGTTGTACTCCAGTTAAAGGTTTAAATGGTAAGTAGTGATACCAAGTACACCGGGTCATCTACTAAAATATGATTATTTTAGATGCACTCTAATAATGTATCGACAGCTTTCAATTAATGATTTCTTATCGCTGTATTTGTTACTATAATCCTATATTATTAAGATAAATGTAGTTTATATTTTATCCATTTAGGAATTATACTCGAGATTGAAAATCGAATGCTGAATTTCTTTATTAGTCGTTATAAATATTTAAAATACAAGATTAATTTATTTATATAAAATAGTGACGAGTTATAGAACCCACCTGAATATTTATAGCATCTTTTGAATACCCAATATTTCCAATATTCATTTTTAATTGTTAACCGACTTAAAAAAGAAAAGAGATTCACCATTCGACTGGGTGTTGTTTTTTTGTGTAGGTGTAGGTTTTTCAAAATCCAAAATTATATATATAGTACCTATACAAGTATCACTGAAAATAACAAATATTTATTTTTCAAAAATTGAACCGACAACAAACTTTAAAAAGATATAATTAATACTTATCTTACAAGCGGTTAAATTTTTCAATAAACATTGAAGTAAAACTACAGAAAACCTCAGCCCGGCTACAATGTTTCTTGAAAATGTTTCAGATATTAAGATTTATTTTTGATATTTTTAAAGTTTTTGCATATTGAAAACGTTGTTTCTATGAAACCAATTGCATTTTTCAAATGGCTACTCAATTCTTAAATATTAAATACACGCGGGTGTTGTAGATAAAAATCAGTGTTCGTTTAATATAAGTTTCTTATTAATAATTTTCACTTTTCATTTCATCATCCGTATAACATAAATAGAGTAATTAAATCATATTATTTTACTTTATCTCCCACTCAAAGGTTATTAAATTGACGATTAAATATTATCAAATGATATTGAATAATTAATAATATAGTTCATTTTCTATAACATATGCCTTTTAGTTATAATCTCGTCTCGTAATAAATATAAGCTGATAATCTTAAATGCTAGCACCATCCTTTTCTTTGTCTACCTTGAAATTTTATATTTTAACACTACTTCTAATATTTCTTGTTACCGTGGGAATTGAGAAGAAAAACAGTAAAGGAGACGATATAAATTTTCACAGTAAATGTGTCTGGATGAGTCAGAAAAGGTTGGTCGTAGAGGACGTTCATCGACCAAATTTTTGACCTTTCCTAAAAGTCACGTGATAAACAACAAAAACACGCGAGCAATATACAAGCAAATATTGTTCAGGAAACAAAACAGGTGTTAGGACTATAATAAGCGGATATCATTTATCACCCAGCCACGTACCAAGGCTTATAGAGATAAATAATTAAGATAATAATTACAGATACATGTGAAATTTCATTAAAATCGGTTTATTCGTTTCGAAGTTCATCAATGACATATCGTGATACGAAATTTTATATACAAATTTCGTATCACGATATGTCATTGAGAAAGAGATGTTTATAGGTCGATGGCGCAGTATATAAACTACTAGCCTAGATTTCCGCAGCTGCTTCGCACGCATGGTTCTGTACATATAAATCATCTTGAATCGCTCTATTTGTTGTTGTAGACCTCAATTAAATCCGTTGATAAGATTTAAAGATCTCAGCGTGAAGACAGTGTCAAGCAAGTTTGTTTTATATTATGTGTTGATAGTAATAGGAAAAGTTTAACCAGATATTAATATACCTGGTTCTGTGCAGTACATTATTAATAAACAGTATTGAGTAGTTCGGTGGCTTAGTGGATAATAGTCGTTAAGCAACTTTCGCTAGGGTCGGTCACGGGATGGGTGACCAAAAAAGTTACTCCGTGCTTCGGAAGGCACGTTAAGCCGTTGGTCCCGGCTGCATTTGCAGTCGTTAATACCCTCCAATCCGCATTGGGCCAGCGTGGAGGGTCATGGCCCATCCTCCTAAACCATCCATAAGGAAGGCCTGAGTCCCTGCTGTGGGGACGTAAAAGGGCTGGTTTGGTTCAACGCGCTAATCTCACGATAGTACGATTAAAATTTATTTTTTTTGTTGAGTAGTCCATTTATTAAGACGACCTCCGTATTCAAGTGGTTCGCATGCCGGTTCGCCGGTGTTGCCTTCTCTCATGTCCCGGGTTCGGTTCCCGGTCGAGTCAGTGCAGAAGTAAATAAACTTTTCGATATTGTCTCGGGTCTGGTTGTTGTGGTGCCTTCATTGTCTCAGATACTCCATAATACGGGGACTAGCTACTCATCTTGGAATCTGAGCAATGTATGTGATGTTGTTTAATATTTATTTATTTATTATTAAGAAAGGCTGTAGGCTATATTACGATATGACTAATAAGAGTGGAGCAGGAACGAAAAATGTTGCAAAAAACAGTTAATAAATCTCTTAAAGATACGTATATCGTTTTGTAATAATACGTTTGTTGTAGCAATACGTTTTTTCGTGATTAAATAACTTCGTATTAAATAAAGTCGTTTTTAAGCAATACACACTCAGAATTCAGAACCATAGAATAGTAATGATAGAACCAACAAAGTAGAATATCCAAAACTGTAAGATTTGTATGAAAATTTACATTTAATCAAATTTTTGATTACCAACGGTCATGACAGTTTTTGAATTACTTAAGATATTTTAAAAATTATATTTTTTGATCTCAAAAATCAAAAAATATAATTTGTAAATTTACGAGAATAGATTTTGAATTAATAGATAAAGTTGAATAAATCAGCCTCTTATTTTTCTGTTAAACAGGTAAATATTTTAAAAGAATGCGTGAAACCTGCTTAAATTTTGTTTTTAGTGTTATTAATGTCTTGCCGAGGCCAAGAAAGTAATTAAAAAACAAGATGGGAGGTCATAATACTTAAAAGGGCTTATCAGTTCAATTTATACTAGATATTTATCGGTAATATGTTTGTGGTATTTTAATAATCATAGGAAAATGTTGGTCAAGTAGAAGAGTGATGGAAATGGACAAAGAGAGAAATAGAGGAAGATTGCAAGAAGCGTCACAGAAAAAAAGAAGCAACGTTATATAAACCGTTACTTCTAAAGTTTCCTTCAGTTCGGACCAAATCTGAAACTATGTAATATTGAACACGTAGTTTTTCGAAACTGTTTTACTTAGTCAGCTAGGCCTAAATTAAAATAGTAATAATGAAATCCCCAAATAAATATTTGGGAAAACAACACATGAAGATGAAAAACTTTTATCTTAAAACGGTTTGGTGAAAATACAAACAGTATCACATTTAATGCATGAGTAAATTTAACGTACAAGCTCTTCGATAAAGACGAATGCTAATTGGAAGATGATATGGGTAAAAAGGGAAGAATGTTGAAATAATGTCTGATCAATAAATATAAAAAAATATAAAAAACTTGGTCAAGCAATTGATAAGGATTATTACTTACCCTTTGGTAAATCTGTGCCGAAAATGTCCAGTTTTTGACCAGGTGTTGAACCGTATTCTATTTCAATCTTATGAGGGATATTATTCGTAGCTAATTCACTGGCTGTAACAAAAAGTACACATGTTAATTTATAAATTCCTATGTGAATGCAATCAAGAAGTTCTAATTTTAATAAATGTAGTACTTGAGAAGTTTTGAATTAATTTTAAATCGAAATAGTGATGATGGAATATTATTTTAAATGGTTCTCAATGCAAATACCAAGCGTTTCCTAATTACCAATATATTCCATAATATATTATTAATTTCGCTAGGCCATATTTTTTTATAGTTTAAGGATAATGAAATTCTACTTTAATTTTGTTCTTGTTATTTGACTTCATTCTCTAAAAAACGTAGTTTAGAGATATCTGAAAATTCACGTTGACAATTTAGTTGCCAGTCTTTTCTCCTATTAAAAAATATTATTTTATAAGATTTATATATCAAATATCTTTTTAAAATTAATCCCTGATAAAAGTTTGTAGGTAGCTAGTGCATGCATATAAGGCTTTATGTTACATTTGTTACGCTTTCAGATTTTGGTGTGGGCTCAGCCGAGGAATACACAAAGTTTATGTGTTGGATAGATCTGAATCTTGCCTTTATTACATGTTTCCCTATTGAAATAGTTGATGCATCACACAGACCTAAATTGCACTTAATACAGCGCGTAATAGCTATATTCATGTTTTATTTGTAATGCAAAGGCATTGAAAAAGATTCAAAGAAATCGCAAGTCTTATTAGAATTTTAATTGAAAAGAAACAACGCCTGAACAGTGATGTCCGAAAGTCCAGACTGAAATAACGCAGTGTAAACAAAGAGTCCTCAAATATTTCAGAAAATATTTCCGCTGCGGGTAGATTAATTTCGGGGGTACTTGTATTAACCCGTCGCCGTCGGCGAGAACCGGGTAACGGCTGTAATAAAAGTGAGAAATCCCGAGATTTTGTTGTGGGAATAATCAAATCAGTGTTGGTACAAGCTCAGTAGATATTTAGTAAAATGAACAAAGACGAATGCTAATTGAATTAATAAAAAACGTCTCTATTGAAACAATACTAAGATTTTAGGTACCAAGTAGCCAAACGACGAGCCAAACGTCGCTTGTTGTTTTGGCTACGTTAGAATACACATCAGCCCCAGATTTACAGGTTATGTATATTTTAAAGTCTTTTTTAAACTTTTGCACCGCATTACATGTAACATTTAATTCCAAACTGAAATTTGTTGTAGCTCGTATCACGCCATGAATGCAAGTTGTTTTGAATGGCCCGGAAGTTCTATTCTATATTACAGCCCGGTACAACAATGCAAGCATTGTGCTTATTACGCTGTATAATACCAACAATGTATCTATAACATTAATACGTATTTAATATAAGGAAATTATAAAACATAGTTTATCATATGATTTTTCTTGTAGAAATTAGCTAGATTTTATTTTATCATATTTTTTAAGGGTTCCCAGAGAGTAAAACGGGACCATATTACTAAAATTCCAATAACCTTCCGTATGTCTATAAGAACGTTATATTGATTTCATAAATAATCAATAAAAAGTTTTTCGAAATTCAAACAAATTCAAAACCTACAACTCCTAAAATCAGTGATTAAATATGTCAATAAAACGATAATATTGTAAAAGAATATAAATATTCTAATGAATAAAATCAATAAAATGTTTTTTATAGCATACTTATATAAGTTAAAGCGAGAGGATAAGGCGGCTGCTATATTATTTATCTATCAATTTCTATCTGTAGATACATAGATAGAGAAAAATATAGTCCCACACACAATGTAGGCATAGAAAATTGATGACACTGATTTTATTCGAATGTTTTACCTGCAGTGACAAGTTTCACGTGATTCTGTAGAACTTCCTGTGGTGTACTGAACCGTTGTGACCATCTGCTAGGTGTGTACTCTGTCTCCAGGTCAACAGCATCCATTATGGTAGTAGACATCTTGTTGTCTGTTGATTCTAATACCTGTAACAATATATAAATTATTTTATTGCAGTATGATACGATGTCATTTTAGGGTTCCGTAGTAAACAAGAAATCCTTATAGTTTCGCCATGTCTGTCTGTCTGTCCGTCTAAGGATTAGCGCAAAAACTATTGGTACTAGCTATGGGTATACAAATTAATAACGCCGACAAAATGTTTAAAAAATCCACTTTTCATTTTTCATTAAGAATATATTTCAGTATAGCATTGTGAATGCGAAATTGATAAAATATAAAAATGGTAAAATAAAAAACTAAAAAAAAAATAATGTAACTTCCTTTACATGTAAAGTGGGGATGATATTTTTTTTTTCATCGTTGGATAGGTCTTTCAACATTGTTAACATTGAGGATGTGGGAAAACCGTTTTGTCGATGTAAAAACCGTTTGTTACTTATTAAGCTTTAAAGAGCTAATTTTCGTTAGAGTCATGTGTCCCTACCAACTAAACGGTCGTTGGTAAAAATTCAAATGTTACGATAGCAGTACCTATACCTATATAGCGAAGTTAAAAGAAAATCCAGCACACATAATTTTCCTTTTCAACTTTACGAGTAATAGTCCACTGATTGTATTTAACTCGACAACAACTCCATAGAGAACAGCGAACGCAATTTATTTTTAGTTTTTTTAATGGATAATGGTAGGGAACCCTTCGTGCGCGAGCCCGACTAATCCTTGGCCGGTTTTTTAGAATTACTTATTAATATTTGTTCGGACATTTGTGCTTTATGCGTTTGATTTAATATCGAAGGGATTATTTTATTGCTAAAACAAGATGAGAATATCTTGGTCAAGTATAAAAGGCCATGCGGTATCTAAAGGTTATAATAGATTAATATCGGTAACATGATCCCGCGGTTAAAGTATCGCACGCGTTAACTTAATACCCTATGGAGTAGTTTTAGCACTTGTATTATAGAAATCTGAAGCGACGATGGTACCACAACACCAAGACCAGAAATTATATTCTACATTGACCCGACTGGAATCGAATCTAAGACCTCAGAGATAGCAATACTTTGAAACCGCCGTGATAGCTGCCCGGCCTCTGAGGACCTTAGACAAAACATGTGGCTTGGCCATGTCCGTCCTATTATAAAACGAAGACCTATTTTAGTATCAAGTTTTAACCATTTCTTCTTCTTAAGGTGCTTCCCTAACTATTGGAAAATGTTCGACTAAAATATGTCAACTCGTCTCAATTTGACCTTTTCTCTTCTGTCATTGTCAATTTGCTTTAGGCGGTTTATAGTTTAAACTAAAGCAAATACTAACTTTAGTCCTCATTTTATAATAAGACTATATATATATTTTATATTAAGAATACTAGTTTATTTTTTACTTTGTTGGTGGTGGATAAAGACCGTCTTTATTTATTTTTTTTACTTTGTCAGTTAGGGCTTAAGACCGACTTATTATATTCCTAATTCGTTTGACTATAGTAATTTTCCACATCACAATAGTAAGCCTACTGATATCAATCATATAAATCGTTGGTACTAAGTTTAGTTTTAATTCTGTAAAAAGGAGTCTTCAATTATGTAAATAAATAAATAACAACAGGTGTATACTTCTTTGTTTCTTCAGTTGTTTCTTATAAAATGTATAAAAATACGAATACGATTGATGAAGCCTCATAAATTCTGTTCTCTTATAATTTACTGTTTTTTATTTCAAACTATATTGATTTCCCAAGAGTGCAATTCTGAAGAAAACAAGCATGCTATTTTGCAGCTAAAGTTATATATCACCCCACCGATATGAACTTTAAATGAGGTTGTATACATTCGCAACCCTGCCTCCTTAGTCATTAAAGAAAAGAAAAAAGATCTTCATTTGTTATTTCTTATTACCTACTCTTTACCTCATTCTTGTTACAATATTTTCATTTAGTGCCAAGAAATGCTTGTGGAAGACTAATCGAAATATGAAAATGTCAGCTAGTGTTGGCTAATGTAGTTCTGAATCCTCGAGGTTCTGATATGATAGCTCTGTCAGTTTCTTAACACGTTTGCATGTGCTAATTTCATCGGGTGCTTCAGGGGATATTTTAGTTTTCTTTTGCTTTTCTTACTTTTAGTTTTTCCGCCTTAGGTTAAGCCCTTCCGCTGATTTATACGTCAACTTATAATAATTATACTACCATTACAGATAGTCGCTATAAACAATAAAATGTGACTCTAAAGGTGAGCATAGATAAGAACATTTCCTCAAGCTTTTCCAATGAACGGTCTATAATTATCAATTTTTCTCATCCTGTTCTATGTTCTCATATCAGTATAAACGTGCATCACACCATAGAGTTTCGAAGCAAAAATGCGCTATTGATGAATGAAACAAATAATGATATCGGTTTCCACTTTAAATTAACGGTCAATGGCGTATAAATTAATGTCGTTACAAATTAAGCACTGCCCAATCTATCTTCAATTATCATAGTTATTCAAATCAATGTAAAAACCACAACAAAGGTCTTTTATAAATTATAAATTGTTTAAATGCGGGAGGCACAGGATCGATCACATTGGAGATCTTTGGGGGAGGCCTATGCCCAGCAGTGGGCGTCTCTCGGCTGAAATGATGAAGATGATGATGATGAAATTGTTTTATTTACATCGCCGTGGATCAGATTGTTATTTATATTCATTTAATATACTTATATCGTGTTGCTATTTGTTTATCATTTCGTAATATAGGTATTATCTTCATTGCAGCGTTTACCGTAAGATAAATATTATTAATTACTAGTATTTGTAATGGCGCAATGATGAGCAGATCCGGCGGCAAAACGGAAGTTAAGTACCTTTCGCAAGGATCGATCATATGATGAGTGACCAAGAATTTATTATCACCGACGGCACCTGCAGGCCACCCATTAATTCGCAAAAATATTCTTTTCGTATCGTCACAAGGGCACGTAATTATTTGACAGTTTATGAAACGAATTCAAAATGAGATTTTGCAATCTATTTAAAAATTTTCTTGTAATTTAAATAAATTATTAAACACATTTCTTATAAGTTTATAACACTGTGGAGGGATCACGGAAATAAATCTAAATCAAATCTTTCAAAAACGAATATCGGGAAGAGCTTCTTTATTTTTAAGTCTTTGTTGAGTTAAAGGTAAAACATTTATTTCAATTGCCTAAGTCTTATAATACATTCCATTGAAAAATAACCTAAAGGTTTTCTAGTTACCATTGAGGGTTATTGAGCCGTATTCTTGATTATCTCGATTTTCGAATACACGACACTGAGGTCTGAAGTGAATCTATTCATAAAAAATATTTCTGTAATCTTATACTTATATTTCTGTGATAGTTTTAAAGCAATTTCTGAGTAAGTATAGTAAAATAAATAACATCAATTAGTTCATGTTAATATAATTAGAATGAATAGAAACGAATAGGGACGAAACTACTGAACCTATTATAAAAATTCTGTCATCTACGGAAAGCTGCATTATAGGCGGTTAACGATATATAATCTTAAAAATCTATTTATAAACTTTTTTTTATGGGATAGGGGGCAGAAGAGCAGACGGATCACCTGATGGTAAGTGATTACCGTCGCCTATGGACACCTGCAACACCGGAGGGGCTACAAGCGCGCTGCCGGCCTTAGAGGGAAGGGTTGAGGGGTAGAGGGGGTAGGGAATAGGGAGGGGTTGGGCCTCCGGTACCCTCACTCACACGACGAAACACAACGCAACACGTCGGTTTTCTGTGAGGCCGTGGTATCACTCCGGTCGAGCTGGCCCATTCATGCCGAAGCGTATATAAAAATTTTGATTTTGAAGTCGGTTGAAAACAAAACACATTATAGGTTGGTGGAAATTTTGCGAAAGATCCTCAAGCGTCTCACAGAATTACGCGTTATCCATCAGTGGTGCATTATATTTATTACATGTTTGTCAGTTTTAAGGTTTTACGACCGGAGAGACATATGCATCTGCCCTTATAGCTATATATTTTGTTTTACAATAATTACCTTTTGCGATTTCATTGAAGAAAGCTTAGTTCTATGAATTTTACAGCCACTGATAATACGTTTAAGAAATGTCACGACTATATATTTCATTTCCATCTTTACCTAAGAATAAATTAAGGAATTTTTAATAATCAAAAGTAGAAATCAGTAAAGATTGCCTACGGTGACTTTGTTTTTATGATGGTACAGCCTACTTAATTTTAATGTTACTTCAACGGAATTTACGAAAAAAAATTGATTTAAAGAAGTGTCTTTTCTATGTTAATATATTTTATTGTTATTATTATAAAGGGGATGATTTCTGAAATTTTATCTTTATGTTCAGAAATAGCTGCACCAATTAGTTTTATGATAATAAATATAATTGAATTATTATATTTAGTATCATCAAACGACTTCACTACTTCTTTGAGTAATTATTTTATATTTTTATTTGATAAATTACACACATCAAAGTAACATTTAAATAAAACTTTCATATCTGTATCACGAATCACGTGCCTAATTCAATATTAATACGTTTATCTGGTTGAATTCTTCTCAACATATAAAATTTAACCACCACAATATCAGACACAATTTACGTATAAAAATAAACACCAAAGCTGACACTGTAAACACACCATCACATTTACTCACTAAATGGAACCAATTGAAAAAAATAATTATGTACATTCATATAAACAATGATTTATCGTTTTAAAACTGTAAACCTTTATGGCACTTTTAAGCAAAGTCCATTCAAACAGTGCACAGCTGCTGCGCCAGCAATATATGACAGTTTACCAAGTATGAATGGATCACGTTACTGACCAACGAATACAAATGTCACAGCCGTGACCCCACCATGTTCCGTTATAATTTAGACCAGTGGTTCCTAAAGTTAATTGAACTCCGACCTATCTAGCAGAATTTTACAATCTTGGGAGCTCTGGTAGAGAAAGACTTTTTAATTTCCATTTGTTATTATTGTAATTAAAAATATG